CCCGAAATGCCTTAAAATGCAAAAACAGTGCAGTTAGATAATATAATTTAGACAAGTTCGGCCCTCGAGGCCTAAACGATGATATTTTTGAACACCATACTATTTTCACTAATTCCAGACACCTCATAATCAGATCATAATCAAAAGAACGTCTTTAAACAATTAAATATAAGCAGGTTTGTGCTTCGTAAAAACCTGTAACCTGCGTATGAAGTAGATTTGCATAAATGACACCAGCAAAAAGTAAAGGTAGATTCTGTTTTTATCTTCTAAAAAATGTCCAACTGCCACAGCTTAAGGCACAACGATGCCAATGACAACAGTAACAATTTCTCCAAAAAGAGTCAAACAATAAAAAAACAACACTGGTAATAAAAAAAAAAAAAAAAAAGCAGAAAAGTCAAATTAAGTTAGAGTTATAATGGAAAATGGAACCATCAGACTTTAGTGAATTCAGAGTGCGGAGGTTCATAACTCAGTGTTACTTTAATATTATTTACTTATACATAAATAAATCAGCCTAAAAATCATTAAGCTTATCTCCTGCACCAAAGTCCAGAGGAAAAAAAATCTTGTTTTGAGCTAATAGACCAAAGTCCTCAGAGAAAGTCAGGGATTTTAGCATACAGAGACTTGTGGTGGACTAAAATGACCACAGGGGGGCAGCCGTGTGTGTGTCTCTGTGGGCTAAAATCTCTGTTCAGTTTGGTGGGGTAGACTGAGTGAGGTTACAAAACATATTTTCACACAAACAAATTCTAAGCCATCATTTCTGGGTGGACGTATTAAACCTTAGCCAGTAGGTGGCAGTAATGTAAAGGATGTGCAGCTGCTGGTAAAACCCAACAAGACTAAGAACAAGTGAGGCCTTGTTGGGAGGGGTATGTTCAGATTTAGCCAACTGCCCTTTGTATGAATAAAAATGATAAAATACTAAATGCAAATGTACTTGTAAATTAGCTTGAGGACCAAGAAGTACAACCTGTCACACTGCGGTTTAAAAAAATAACACATTTTATATAAACCTCTGAATAAATAACTCTCAAGGATTTCTTTTTATGTTCAAAACATGGACTGTGTGTAAGAAACAGTGACACACAAATAATAAAATAATAATCATTTAAAAATCCACATCTGGTGTGGAACACAGAAATGTCGCCCTCTGGTGGACAAAACCTACCATTAACTTTTCATGAAATAAAATGTGGTCATTCCTTACACACAGTCCATGCTTTTCTCACTCACTCCGGTCTGTGTTGAATACCTGTGAGGAAACAAAGGGAGAAAAATGTCTCACACACTTCAAGTCACAGGAAGATTCACACCACACACACTCACATTCACACCACACACACTCACACACACTTCTGTAGCACTAAGAAACAAGTACACCAACCATAAATAAATAAATAGAAAAACTCTAAAAAAGTTTGTCCTTCATTTGTTGCTCTCTTTGTTGCCATCTCTCTCTCTCTCTCTCTCTCTCTCTCTCCGTCTGCTACCTGATGCGTCCGTCCTCTCGGGGCGCTCTCACTTCAGATTTAGGGTCAGGACTGTGTGAGCTCCAGTCAGTGAGTCGACAAGTCTTCAGAGCCGTACAAGCGCTGGGACCCGTGGAGCAGACGCCCGAGGCCGACCAGTGACCCTCCAGCAGCCGGTCCAGCCACTGGCTCAAGGGTGCCCCCGTCAGGCCCGCGTTGGCCTCCGCCTCCTCAACGGCACTGAGGCTGACGGGCAGCCGCAGCACTGGGTTCAGGCCGTGGAAGCTCTGCTCCATGTAGGAGTTTCTGGGTGGTCCAGAGTGAAGACGCTGGGTGTCGCCTGAGTCCAGAAAAAAAAACAAAAACAAAAAACAGACATTAGATTAGATTAGATTAGATTAGATTAGATTAGATTAGATTAGTCGTAGTGAGGTGGAGAGTTCGGAGTCAACCAACTTGTGACTTTAAACCACTACTAAAGGAGGACTGTTTTCTTTAAGGTAGTGCAGCAGGAAATCTCTGGAACCGTAAACCAGGTGAACCACACCTGATCTTTGGAGTTTGTTCTGAAAACGTGGTTCAGACATCGTAGGTAACGATAAAAACACGACACACCAACACATGACACACCGTTTTAGTCTAGGGTCACCCTGTCACTGTGTGTGTGTGTGTGTGTGTGTGCCTATAAATACAGCTTCATAAGAACAGCAGCTGACAGCCTGATGTCAGTGGAGTTGATGGAACCACAGTTCTGTGTGTGACCATCAGTAAACACTGATTTTGTCATTTTCTTCAAACAGCAGCACTTTTAAAATAAAAAAAAAATAAAAAGTTCACCTTGCTCGATGGGCTGCTGCTTGAAGAACTCCAGTGGCGCCACCACAAAGCGGGTCTGACCCAGGGGGCTCCAGTGGTGCAGGACCCTCAGACTCCATTCTCCCGGCCTCAGCGGTAGAGCCAGAGGGGGGCGATAGTGAGTGACTTCAGCGGTGGCGTCCACCAGGATGTCATAGGTGGCGGCGATGACGTTGGTGGGGTCGATCCAGACCACGGTGGCCGTCAGGTTGCTCTGACCGCGGCTCCAACGCTGCACGGCCACGGGCTCATCCTGGGGCCCCAGGAGGCCCCCCCAGTTTCTAAAGAGACGCTCCTTAGCGTCCCAGTCCGTCCCCACCTGAAGGACAGCAGGTGGGTAAGAAAACAGGATTTTTAGATTTTTGTTTCTTAAACTCTGGGGCGTGTTCTGTCGGTGACGGGAGTAAGATTAGTCTGGTGTGTGTGTGTGTGTGTGTGTGTGTGTGTGTGAGGGACCTGCACATGCAGCAGTCTGTTGGTGGTCTGGGCTGCAGCCGTCAGGCTGAAGTGGTCTTTGGCTGTGACCCAGGTCTCCAGAGTCTCTGGCTGCCTGGAGGCTCTGTTAGTGGCCACGTGACGCAGCAGGTAGCCCTGGAACTGGTCCGACAGGAAGTAGAGGTGGACCGACGTGGGGGGGCTGCTGCCCACGTACCTGAGACACAGAGTGAACACAAATCAAAGATGAGGACAACGTCGGAGCGGTGGAGCCAGCAGTCCCGGGTCTGGAACCAGAGGCTTTTATTTCAACACAACAAAGCTGAGGTTTTGAAGGATTCATTTGATGAAGTATTTTCAGATTAAAAACATTCATTAATAAAAGTGTTAAAAAAACTTTATCTAGTTTTTAGCCTCTCTCTTTTTCCTGATTTTTTGGCAGACCTGATAAACAGACGCACACGATGCTGTCTGTAGGTGGCAGTAGTGTACCTAAATACCAAATGGACGAGCACAACTTCTGTAGGTGGCAGTAGTGTACCTAAATGCCAAATCATAAATCACAGATTTTTTTTTTTTTTTTTGGTGTGGGGGATGAAGGGGTTAACGTTCTTTTCTCGCTGTCATAGCAGCAGGTAGGGGTTCAGATTTAAATAAACGTCATAAAAAAGGAGTGAAAATAAAATCTTTTAAGGTTTGATCAGAAAAACAAAATATATATATATATAAAAACGACATGTTGACGTTTTTTAACCAGAACTGAAGTCACAGGACGACGGGGAACAGACTATTTCTGTTTTAGCTCTTTCTCTCTCGCTCGCTCACTCACTCACACACACACACACACACACTCCTTCCTGTCC